TGAAAAGATATCATTATCATCATCATATGCATTCAAAGAATTGTCAGATTATTGCAAAACTCGGCATATAAGCTATATTTCAGACAAATATGTAAACATATTACAGTTATGGACTGATTACACAACGGGTACTGCCACCACAGTGCTTTAAAATCTAGAACCAGGAGAAAAGATGATCGTGACACAAACACGAATAGCTGCAATGGCATCTTTGACAGATCCATAGACAAGTGGAAGCCTCATTACAGAACTCTGTATCTTCCCGTACCGTGGCAGGAGACTAGCAAAGGCAAATTTACATGTTCGACGACCTGTATGTCTCCTTCCATTAACAATCCAATATCGTCGGCTTTGTTTGCAGAGGTGTCATGACAGAGAAACATGTGCTGCTACAGACTGGCAGGAGCCCATCAGTGGACAAGTGGGTAAAACCACCGAACACTGGTAGTGTAGATTAGCGCCTGAGCAACGGGCTGACGACATGGAGATTTCCGGATTTTCTTCACGTGTCTAACGCCCAAATAGGGGCCAATTTCTCACAGAAAATCTTCCCAAGAAGGTCCTCCCATAGAAAATCGCATAAGTATTGCATTGCCTTATACTGTGAATCTAATCCAATCCTACAGACCGGCAGAATATCGTCGTTAGTGACGAATTTCGGTTACAGTTGTTAGTTTTCGTTTTTTGGGGGGGGAGTGGTTCCGTTTTGAGAACAGACGACCAACATGTTAAAATGTGGAAGACCACTGGTGAACGCTTCAATCACGCCTTTGCTGTTGGCAGCACATTGTCCCTACTGTTACGTATCAATCTGAGAAGCTATCTCGTATGACAGAGAGTGACCCTAGGAGAAGTATACACGGGACATTGACGCAAGCGGTATATTTAATAAATCATGTTTCCTTATACGTTGCCTTTCATTGCAGGGCTACAAACAGCTATTTTCCAGCAAGACAAAGCTCGGCCGCACATAGGTAACATTTCTTAGGAATGTTTGTCACATTTTCACATATTATTGGCTTTTCGGTCTCCACATTTGTTAGGCATTAAGCACTTCTGAAATCAGATCGAACGCCTTCTTCGGCCAGGAACAAGAATGAGGGATCTAGAATGCAACGTCTATAGGCATTTCTGTTGCGAAATAGAATACGATAACTGTATGCTTCCATGTCCCATCATATCGCAACATGTATCTTGGCAAGACGAGGTCCTATAAAGCACTAACAATTCATTTACATTATATCATTGTTGCATGAGAAATTGCCTCTTTGATAAGATATTGTAATCAGTTATTATGATCGTCATTTCATTCGATTCAAATGCCCTCTTCTTGTTGAATAATTGTTTTGTCAGTGAGAGTATTATTCTACTCATAATTATATCGCGATTTTCAAAAATATTCGTCATTCTAGCGAATAAGTGCGTGCGATTTTGTATATTTATAAAAAATCAGCTATTTTCATTGATAAAATCCTCGCCTATATAAATGTCATTATTAATATGTACGAGGGCGGTTTTTTTCAAGTTCCGATGGTCCATAAAACAAAGACAAGTGTAAATAACAAAATTAATTTATTATCAAAACTTAGGTACAAACATGGTTACTTTTCGACATAATCACCGTGAAGATTGAGGAATTTGTCATGTCTGTGGACGACTTTTCCATTCCCTTGTCATAGAATGTTGCCGCCAGTGAATTGAGATGCCTTAACAACGTTGTTTCGAAGATTGTCATTAGTCTCGAACCTGCGCCCTGCTAGCCACGTTTTCAGTTCAGAAAAGAGGTAGAAGTCTTCACACATTAAAAAGTTTTAAGCTGGATGCAAGTCTGAAAGGTGGAAGTCTTCACCACCTTTAAACACCCAGCGTATATCCCTCCCGATTTACGCCGAGAGACTTCCATTTCTTTCCTGAACAAGAAAAGTTGTTAAGAGGGCAGAAATTCGAGACTAATGACGATCTTCAAAACAACGTTGTTAAGGCCATCTCAATTCACTGGCGGCAACATTCTATGACAAGGGGATAGAAAAGCTCGTCTACAGATATTACAAATGCCTCAATCTTCACGGTGATTATGTCGAAAAGTAACCACGTTTGTACCTAAGTTTTGGTAATAAATTCATTTATTTACACTTGTCTTTGTTTTATGGACCATCGGAACTTGAAAAAAACAGCCTACGTAAATACGAATTGTGCATATTTATATATCTGTTTAGATTGAAATGAATCTCCTCTAATTGAATACTACCTATATTCTTATTTTCCCGGTTCTATTATAGCCTATATAACAGAGGGATGGTATTGAGATTGGGCAAAAATTACCCCTCATGATTTTTATATTTTTGGACTGGGAACCTTGTAACGCCGAGAAATGCAGAAAAAAATTTGGGTTTTTTTTTTCAAAATTTCAAAAAATGTATGGATGTTAGTCTGAGTGTGTGTGTGTGTGAAGGAGGCACCCTCTTTGAAGCTCAATAACTCCTGGGTTTTTTGTCGAAAATATATGAAATTTTGCAGGGATGATGCTATTAAATTTTGATGAATTGAATTGAAACTATTAAATTTTTATGGTTAAAGGTCGACAGGGTGGGAAGATAAAGGGGGATCGTACGTACATTATACCTGGAATAGAGTCGGGCTTAATGAAGATTTTACTCGTTATTAGCAATTACAATTTTTTTTTATAAAACTCATCCCTACCCTCAAAATTAATTAAGCTGTTTGCAATTTTATAATAATTAAAAATATAAAAGATTTCTAAATAAAATATCGTAACAGATGGAGTCACCAAAATTTTAAATGCTGCCGGGAAAGTTACACAACTCATTGCTGGATTTTTTCTTTGTCTATTAAAAATTACTCAATGGCTGTAATCTAACTGCGATTGCTAAAGAAAACTTACTGAGGTAGAAAGTGTTTGCTGTTTGCACATAATTATTACTAGCAAGGTTAGTGTTACTGATGTTAATGCTAATTTTACTATTTCATAACATATTATTTCATTACATTTAAAGTTTTTATTATGAATCTTTTTATATACGTTTTATTTTGTTTACATTAAAATATATCTGGTTTTCATAATTATTAATATGTTTACATAATTAAGCGCAAATACATTTTAAATACAAGCAGTTTAAATGTATACAGTGCTTCCCTCTGTTGAGTCAGTAAGAAATTAAGTTGTATATATTGAAATTACTACAATATATTACAAGTTTTTGTTTTTAATATAAATCAGCATATTTGAATGCAAACTAACAATATAACTTATCTAATGGAATACAAAGCTAACAATATTTTTTCTTCAGTGTTTAGGAAGCCACATTCGATTTCATATCCAAATATTAAAGATATGTCGATTATGTTAAACATCTATGGATGCCCTTACTCTATAAGTATATTAACATACAGAAAAATAATTATTTTAGAATATTTGTTTTAAATTTTAGCTTTAATTCCTGCTTCTTATAAACAAAAATGACCAAAATTCAATACTAGAATTTAATGTAATGATTTTCTGTATGCTGATATATTTACAGCATACACGTGGTATGCTGGAGTTGCGGGTTCGAGTCCTGCTCCGGGACTATTCTTTCCTCCCAGAACGTTCTAAATTAAATAATAATTTATTTATAATTGTTAAATTTATCAAGAGATGGCGCCTAACTTCCTCCCTCTAGGTAAAATTATTTAATATTTATATATTAAATAGTAGTCGTATTATAGCTCGATATAATCCAGTAGATATTTTAAATAAATTTCAATGTTAATGAGTATTCAGACTTATTAAAATTTTTTGCCTTTGAACTGTATTATTGTTAAACTCTTGAATAATTCTATTTAAATCACTCTCGGTAAGTGTTTATCAGTGCATTTTCTGCTCTAAATTGAATATTTTAAGGCGAGTTTAACGATTTCAGTGATTAATATATTTCCATATAAAATATTTTAAAAGTTTATAATAATATAAAAATAAGAAGACAAAGGAAATCCAATGTTGCTCTATCGATGCTAAGAGTCAGATGACAGAAACTCAAAACCCGGAACAAAGACCAACGTATACAGTATAACCTTGTGGATGTATTCATCTTTGTTTCGTTTTCGTTCTTGGAAAATGTGTTTCCTTCACGTTCTAATTGTTTCTTGATATATTCTATAATTATATTTATTTACTGTTAGTTCTCTCTCTTCCGTAGTTCGGTCGTCTTCGATAATTTCGATATCATCTTTTGATTTGTTCGAAAAATCATTGATAATTTACATCCCCGCTGTCATGAATCACTTGTACAAAGCCTTTGATGACGATAGTCTAACAAAATTAAGAGTTTTCGAGTGATACAAGATGTTAAAGGAAGGCAGAGGATGAACCACGCTCTGGTATACCATCCAGGGCCCAAAGTGGCACGTGAGGAGTATCGGGCAAGTAACGTTCATGCGATTATTTGAGCATTTTTGCGTGAATAATTTAATAAATTATTAAAATTTTTTTAATTATTAACTTAGATAAGAGATGGCGCCTAATGTCTACCTCTACTACTAAATTACTTACTTTCTAATTATTAATTATTATATTCTAATTCTAATTATAGCCACATTAATAACGATCATCGTTTAACTTAGTATCGATACATTGGATTTCGGGAAGTTGACGTTTATATAAAAATAAATTATATTAATTAAGAAGTATTTCAATAAGTTATACTTGAGTGATTACAATATACTTGGAATATTCGTAAAAACTAATAATTTTTATTTCAATTTAACATATAGGCTATATGTACAAACACTTATATACGAAAGGATGTAACAAGCTGATGAATTAATTGTTAATTAAGTACAAGTCGACCCCCCTATAACACTGTTGATTTTTCCGTTTTATATGAATTCCATGTTGTACGAGTTACTTAGATTTTACAAATACGTGAGCCGTTCACAGCCCGGCACACGTATTTGTAAAATCTAAGTGACTCGTACAACATGGAATTCATATAAAATGAAATTATCAACAGTGTTATAGGGGGGGTCGGTATTAAAGAAGTAATAACGAAGTTTTTTATATCAGTGTCAACGGGAAGAAATTCCTTTATAGACCAACAAAATGATTTTTATTGTATATTAGTTATTGTTTGTAGTTTTACGGAATAAGGCAAACAAGAATTTATGACATCGTTAAACTACAGACTAACGTCAACCCATACGCGAATCGTCCTTGAAAAGACTAGTTAATTGGAATGAGTAAAGAACGTAGTATAGTTAATATAATATTCGCTTGTAAAACTGGCAAATATATAGTACCAGTTAAAGAAAATTTGTATCGAAATGAATTCATTTATTCTCTAAAGGTAAGTTTTTAAGAAATGAATTTTAGTGTAAATTTAATTATTATCGAATTATCATTTAGTTGCTACGAGTCTTGATATAACTTATAAAACATAAGGAAGTTTAATAATGAGGATGTCAAATAAACAACTTTAAAATACTTTCTATTTTCAAACTGTTTTTAAATAACTGTTTAAAAAAATTCCTATTTTATATAAAACTTTGCGGCAATTAAATGATCATTGTACGTTTAAAAAAAAAGTCAGTAAAGAATAAAACAAGGAAGTAATTTTTAAGCTTAATTTATGGCAGATAAATTTAACAAATGACAACTGGTATAAAATTAATTTTTAAATGAATAAATATATATAATTTAATTATGACAAATAAACAAATTAATGTTAATATTATATTGATAATTTCGAATAATTTAAATGAAAGGATTTCATAGATTTCAATTGTTTATTTGATTAAATAGGTATAAAGATTAAATTAAATAAAACTCAAATTAACAACTGCACATTTGTAAATTATCCCTCATACTCTATATGTTAAATTCACAATTTTAGTAACAAGCTTTATAATTATTCTCTTTTGTATTCTAATGGGGTTTATCATAATCCTGTATAATACATAGTACATAGTACATTTATATTTATAATCCGTCTAAGTGGAAGCTATCTTATTATTTTATATACATATATACACTTTATAAAAATCTATCATATGTGTATTTGGCTTAAAAGGAGAGGGAGGAATTATATAATAGAAGGAAAAATTGTGTGTAAATTCTAAATGTCATATTGGTTTCTTAAAAGATTTCAACACTAATTCAGGTTCTATATAAATGTTAAATGAATGGGTTTATTAAATAAGTATATAATAATGTATATATTGGTGTATAATGATGTGTTTTACAACTTATTTAGCCTAATTATAAAATAAACATTTATATATTATAATAAAAAAAAACTTATTTGTTTATTTCCCTGATTAATTAACTAGTCGTAATCATTAGTTCTTAAAATATTTACGTGTTTAACAGCTTAATGAATGAGTTTTTGCATAATTTGTTGAAATAAATAATTAACTATCTGATAAAATAATTTGAATCTTATAATTTTTATAGTCGCGTGTCAAAATATTATCTTAAATAAACGAGCTTTATTAATTGTTTAAAAATATCTAAAATTAGTTAGATAATTTTGAAAATTTAAAATAATAAAATAAAACAAGACAATTTTATAAAAGAAAAATTAATTTTGATTTATCGAAATCAACAAAACATGATCTTAACCTTCATCTGAAGGTCCAACTCACCTAACTTATAATTTGTCAATCAATCAGTAACAAAGAATACAATGAGAATAAAAAATTCACTTTAATATGAAGTTTAGAATTAGATTTTCATTTACATGTGTCCAATTTTAGATAACATTTATAATTTTAAAAAAGCGGTAATTTATTATAGTAATTATTAAATAAAACTTTTGGAATTTGTATTGACGGTTGGAAATTGTTTAAAGTTTGTGTTGGAATATATAATTGATGGTTGTTGTATACTTCAATGACCTTCAAAACGACTGTTTCCCTTTGAAAGGTGTACCAAATCAATCAGTTAATAAATAGTTTAATTATAAATAATTATAAAATAGCTTATAATAAAAATTTCTTAGAACGTGCGTTTGAAAACGATTATCTTTAAATACTTTTTAATTTAATTATGTTATTAAAATAAATATTTTTAATTATAATTTGAATAAAATATTACAATTATTTAAGTAGAAACTTTATTAAAAGCTGTATTAAATAATAATGAATAAATTACTTTATAACAATAAATAATTACTTAATTTATCACTCTTATTACCTGTGTCTGCATTAACAATAAATATCTTATTATTTACAATATGTTATTTAAAATACCGTGCTTTTATTATAAGGAAAATTTGGAAGTTAACCTAGAGATAATAATTCTATTGTGTTTTGTTTTTTTTGTAATAATAATTTTTCAGAAATTCTAACAGTAAATTATCAGTAATAAATTTCTAAAGAATGTTTTTAAAGTTTAGTAATAACGTAATTACAGACTCACTTGTCAGTCTTGTTTCCTTAATGTAAAAATAGAATGCAGAGTGATTATATAAGAAATTCACACATAGAAATTAAACTTAAGTTTCATTAAAATTTCCATAATATAAATTAAATAATTATTTCACAGTATATTTAGCTACATAATAAAATTCTATATAATTTTTTTTATGATATTATATTTAGACCTACTAACTTATATTTATTTTCATATTTTTATTCATACAGATTGAATATGTCAAACGTAAATGTCTATCGTTTTCTATCAAGTAAGTTTAAAATTTTAGGAAGAAAAATAAGCAGAGAAGTTACTTGGTTTATAACGATTCCGTTAATAATTACTGTCTTCTTAGCAACTGGAATTCAAAGATTAAACTTTGACTTTACTGATGACTTATATATACCTCTAGGTAGCGTTATTAATCGCTATAAATTACAATTAGAAAACATATTTCCTATGAATTATTCTGATTTTGATCCAAGCAGATTATTACAAGTTGGAAATTACGTGTCTGTTATAGTTCTAGCGGCAGACGGAAGATCCATATTCAGACAAAACATTTTTAACGAAATAGTGCAGTTAGACGTGAAAATTCATAATATTAGCGTGTATGTGGACGAAGAAATGTGGCATTATCAAGATCTGTGCTCCACCGAATCAGGAAAGTGTTTAGAAAATAAAATAATATCAATAGGCGATCGAATCAAACTCATTGAAAACGGTACACTTTATCCAAAATATCCTTCCGAGCAAAATAAAACCATCGAAAATGCCTTATCCTTGGGAGGCGTTAACGTTGACGAGAACTTGAATATTGTCTCTGCAAAAGCACTCAGATTGATCTATTTCCTCTCCAAGAAAAATAAACGCCACGCATTAATTACTAAAACATGGGAAGAAAAGTTTATTAAAATAATCGGAGAAGCAAAATTCAAAAGTATCAAAGTTGAACGAGATGCATCGATCTCCAAAGAACAATTGAAAAAAGAAAATATTTTCGTTGGCTTCAAACATATTTCTCCAGCTTCAATTTTAATTTGTATTTTTACAATAGTCACTTGCTCGTTTCCAGACTTACGTGAAAGCAAACCGTGGACGGGAATATTGTCAATAATAGCAACAGTAATGAGCGTCGTTTCTGGATTCGGCGCTTTAATATATATTGGAACTGCCATGTCTACAATTACGATAATTGTACCCTTTTTAATTTTGGGCAAGTACATTTTATTAAAGAATATTCTCTGCTGTAGAAATTGATTCTAAATAATTAAAATACGTATTATTTTTAATATTACAGGAATCGGAATCGATGACACATTTATCTTGTTATCGGCATGGAGGAAGACCGATACGAGCAAATCAGTAGAGTGGAGAATGGGAGAAGCACTGTCAGAATGCGGTGTATCCATCACGATAACATCAATTACCAATATTGTATCATTCATTGTTGGTGCATTAATCACGAGTTTACCAGTTCACGGTGTGTTTTGTATTTATATGGCAACGTGCTTGGTATTTGATTACGTATACCAAATCACGTTTATTGTAGCTGTGATGGCTTTATGGGGAAGAGCTGAAGAAAAAAATTTAAATTCTTTTATTTTCACTCCATTGGATTTAAATTCCGATTCAGGTAATTTAAATGATTTTATTTATTTATTTATTAAATGATATTACTAACAATATGTAACAAAATCACATGTCGAGAAGTAGACGTTTAGGCTGTAGCGACAATAATATATTAATTTTGTATCATTTGTTTGTAGATAAAATTTATTGGTTAATTAGATTTAAAATTATATTTTCAGAAAAGAAAACATGTACACGAAAATATTTATGCTGTGTGGAAAAGAAAGACTCCTCTAATCTGTCTGCCTGTTTAATATCATGCAACGAATATTGGAAATTATTATTACAATCAATGACAAATTATAAAATCATATCCGTTATTATTTTCTCTTATTTGGTTTATCTTAGTATAGCTGCCTGGGGTTTCACTCAATTAAGTTTCAGAGCTACATTTAATATGGGATTACTATATAATTCATATCAATATTCCTATTTTAAAGCATACCAAGACAATTTCCATCAGTATCAGTACCGACTGCAAATATTTATTATGCAAGAACTGGATTATGCAGATCCCGAAATCCAAACTAAAATTGAAAATATAACGCGGTCGATCGAAAATGATCCGCTGATTTCTGGGTCCCTCTTTACAGAGTCTTGGTTGAGAAGTTATCTTCAATTTATTAATCACAAAAATGTTGTACCCATGTTACAAAGTTTTAATTTAACCGATTCGAAAGACTTTTTATTAATTCTTCGAACGTTTTTCTTTCGTCATCCCGCAGCCAGGAGATTCAGGAAGGATGTTGTATTCGACCAAAATTATACGAAAATCGTTGCCAGTCGTTTTCTTTTCCAAACGAACATAACCAGAAATGGAAATCAATTTTACAATCGAGTAAAGAATTTGAGAGAAACATTAGAAAAATCTGAATATAGAACAATTTTATACCATCCGTTATTTTATTATTTCGATATATTGGATGTGATACCCGTAACAGTCGTTCAAACTCTGACGTTGATTAGCGTTGTGGTATTCGTAATATCCGCCATTTTCTTATCAGACGTTGTTTCTATTCTTTGCGTATTGTTGACAATATTATCAGTAATGTTTGGCGTCGTCGGTTACATGTCTCTTTGGGATGTCAGTTTTGGAATAATGTCTATTTCCATCCTAGTCATGGTTTGTGGATTTTCTGTTGATTATGCAGCGCACGTGGTTTGTGCCTACAGTTCATCGAAGGAAACGGATCCGAAGAAACGCCTGATCACTGCAGTCGGTTTAACAGGAATGCCAATTTTCCAAAGTAGTATTACAATGATTTTAGTGGTTATAGTTTTTGTAACTCGTCCTTCACTAGAATTTTTCGTTTGTATGAAAATCATAACATTAGCTTCTCTAATATCTGCGATTCATGGAATTGTTTTTGTTCCAGTAATGATTAGTGTTTTGAATTGTATATGGAATAATGTTTTCCTAAGAAAAAGTGTAGACTTTATAACTTAAAAATGGACGGCCGGATGGACGAACGATAAATGTGTTAGCCTTCCTCTCTGGAGTATCCGGGATCGAATCCGGACGAGTCGAAAACATCCGTGAATATGTCGGGGATGATCCTTTCGGATATGTCGGTTCCTGTCTCTAACCACCCGGCCGCTCCATATGGGCGGCCGTTTGGCCGTTGTGGGCCTAGCCGAATTCATAATGGGCTTGCTAAAAGAGGCCCTCTTAGTGTCCACTGGGCAGCATTAAAAAACTTAAAAATATATATAAAATATTATATTCAGTTATGTAATTTTACAGATAAAGACTTACAAATTAATTAAAATGAAGAATGAAATACATGGATAAGTGGTCTCAACGGTATTGTTTAATTAGTGAAAATTTTTTACAATTATTGACATTAACCAAACTTGCCACATTTGTAATATTAGAATTTATTTACTTTTAGTAATTTTGTATAAACAGGCCATCGGCAACATATAGTAAAGCCAAAAGAATTACAAGCAAGATGGCTGACACAGTTAAAGTGTCATTCTCTGAGAACTTGAAAGTGAATCCGAACTAGTCGAAAAACTCCAGAACATTTTAGGGTGATTCGTCCCGAATATATCTCGCCTCATTGTTCATTGTAGGCCTGACAGAACCCGCAATGTGCTTGATAAAAACGCCTGCCTAGTGCTAACAAAGCGGAGAGTTAAAAAAAAATGTGAAGATTTACAAGTAGATTTTGTGTTAACTATATACTGTATATTTGATCTAATTTTTATTTTTATAGCTTAATACTAGGATAAAATAAGTTACCATTCTTCACTAGCGACTCTTGATAATAACATCAATTCTATGTGTCAACAAAGAATGTAATCCTTTTTCCAAGATGCCACAGCGAAACACCACAATGCGAATGTCACTACCTCCAAAGTACCTCTAGTATAGCCAATATTTTTAGAATTAAAATTTAACTACAAATAGAAATAGTCACTATTAATACGGTACATAGCTAATAAGTATACGAATTTGCACGTAACTTATATCTTTACGAAAATTTCTATATTTAGACTAGCATCATCGCTATGCTGTAAAACTTTTCATTTTCTGTAACTCACTTTTTCCCTCCACAATACTGTATTACAAAATAATATTTTTTCTGTTATTTTTAATTATTTTACTTTAATGTGAAATAAATCAGTGAAATAAGCCATTCATATTAAAATATAAGTATTGTACAATAACACATTTATTCTTAATTAAACTAATTATCTAAATATATAAAATCGCTTGTCCTGACTGACTGGCTGAATGACTCACTCACTCACTTACTGATTCATCATCGCCCAGAGCAGACCGCTTAACCTAGAGGTGAAATTTTGTAGACAGTTAGGGTACGTCATGCAAACGCACACTAAGAAGGGATTTTTCAAAATTCCCCCATGGAGGGAGAGGGGGAGGATTAAGGCTTAACAGGAACAAGGGCTTCTACTGTACTATTTTAGATGCGATTTTTCGTTTTCAACTACGTTTAATTTTCATTGAGTACTTAGATGTATTAAACTGATAACATTTCAGACATTGTTATAAATATTTTTATATATTTCGATTTTTTAACCAAATGTTCGAACCGTTTTAAATTTGAATTTCTTTTTGCATATTGGTTCGATTATAGAACGATTGTAAACGTTCCAGAAAATGGGTCAAATTGAAAATACAGACAGTACAGTACACGGAATATTGTGTAGTCGACTCAGATGGAAAGCTATCAATACGAGTTAAGTTTTTGTCACAATGTGTATTTATATTAAAACGTGATTGCTTAGGACACTAAACAACCTTTCACTTGTTTTTAAAACGAATATTGCATTTAGTTATCGTAAACGTTCTAATAGATTTTCAAAGTTAAACTACTCCACTACTAAACTTTCGAATTTTTCAACTTTTAAGTTTGTACAGCAAATAATTTAATATTTTCTTTTATATTAATGAAAGCGAATATGTCAAATTTTATAATTAACGTGACGTCATCGGCCGAATGTCTTTCACGACAACAATTATGCAACAACGAACTTCTTCGATAATTGTTAACGAGTCAACAATTCAAATTCCATTGTTCTTTGTTTGCATCAAGGCGATATTTTCGTGTTCCTGGTATTTTCGAAGAAATAATAGCGAGAAATTACAGAACGATGGAGGGAAGAGGAAAATACGGTATTTTAGTATAAGAAACAGAGAATTCAAACAAAGAACAATGGGCTTTTAATTGTTTATTCGTATGTATATGGGAATATATATATTAAGTAAATGTAAATGCAGTACTTAAATATAAAGTATTGCTATCAAATATAAATATAATTGCTAATTAAATTAGAATTGATTAGAATTAGAAATAAAAATTGAAATTAATTAGAATTAAATATCAATATTTTATATCTATGATTATATATTATATTATATGGGGGTCATTCAAATGAAACCCGACCAATGGATATATCAAAGCGCGGAATGTGTCCATTTGAAATGTAGGTGAAAACACTAGGCTCACATTGCAGTGTTATGTGAATCTACAAAGAAGCTGCGTTCGTTTAGCCCGTCAGGCAGATACTCCGTCCAACTTTCAAGCATGGATGAGTCAATAATTGAGCTGATGGAGCCACCATAAATGCTGCTCGGTACGTGGAAACTTTAAAATCTCTGCCATCTTTCATCAAGTTTAAGCCGCCTGGTCTGCTTTCTCAAGGGTCGTCGTCCTTCATCACAACGTTCACCCTGAATCCCTTGTGAAATTCAAGTGGGAAATACTCTAGTATCCTGACTTGTCTCTGTGCGATTTCAACTTTCTCGACCAGCTTAAGTATAATGTATGATTAAAACTTACACCTGAAAAGGTGTAAGTTTTAATCATACATTATACATACAAGGTCTTAATTGGCGCACACAACTTATTTTGCAATAAGTGAAGTAATTTCATTAAAGATTTCTTAATACATTTGACAGTATCCAGGAGTTTTATACATAATCACATGCATATCACAAGATAGAAACAGACAATATCTTACACTATTCTTTTTAAACTGCGTTACATACTGCATTGCAGTGTTGTACTATACTAATTTACATATTATGAAGACTGTTATTATTAATATTAACAATAGGATAACTTTTATAAATAATTACATCGATATTAATGTGTATTGTGTATATTATAATAATTTCATCCAGTTTTCGTTTATTTTTACACAATTTTTGTTAATACAATTTTTGGCTTTTAAAATTGAGACACTTTCTTTAAATCTTCTATTATATATGTTTTTCTCTTTGTATAGGATTTTTACATTATTTTTATCTATATTACAGTCATTTATTAAACAATGGTCATGAAAAACAAGAGTTTAGTCGATTATATTTGAGATCAGCAATATGTTCTTTTACACGTATATTCAGTTTTCGCTTAGTTTCTCCTATATAGTAGTTGTATTACAGATGCAAGGTATCTTATACACAACGTTCTTTGTTTCTTGTTCTTTATTATCTATTTTATTAGATTTTGCCAGTCTTATTTTATTTTCTAATTTTTCGTATTTCGGGGCTAGTTTTGCATTTATTTTCTGTAAGTCTTTGTTAATATTCTCATATAGTCCTTTTATATATAGAAAACTGATGTATTTTGTATCTGTATTTAGCTTTTTTGATTTATTATTATTATTCATTTTACTATTTATTTTGTTTTCCCAGCGATTTATTAAACTATTAGGGTATCCATTGAAAACAAATTTCTTTTTTAGTTCTTTTATGTAAACATTTACATCAGTAAGATTGCTAGTTCTTGTCTAGTAGGTGTCACATATATAGTCCACTCCAATGGCCATGGGCACCCATGGCCAGTGGAGTGGACTATATATGTGACTGTCCACTCCAGTGGCCATGGGTGTCCAGTGGCCCACATATATGAGGATAAAACCCGACCAGTGTATATATCAAAGCGCGGAATGTGTCCATTTGAAATGTAGGTGGAAACACTAGGATCACATTGCAGTGTTATGTGAATCTACAAAGAAGCTGCGTTTGTTTAGCCCGTCAGGCAGATACTCCATCCAACTTTCAATCATGGATGAGTCAATAATTGAGCTGATGGAACCACCATAAATGCTGCTCGGTACGTGGAAACTTTAAAATCTCTGCGATCTTTCATCAAGTCCAAGCCGCCTGGTCTGCTTTCTCAAGGGTCGTCGTCCTTCATCACAACGTGGGCGGAGATCCACCAATAGGTATAACAGTATTCGACGACGGCACTGTCGGCCGTCGTCGAATGCATCGTTAATGCTAGCCACCATCTTTTTATATACAGTTGTACAGTACATGAGTTCGTGCATCACGTGCTAGGTACTTTTCAACTTATGCACTAGCACGTTCTGTGTGCTACAAAATAATGATAATTTTCTAGTATATATTTTCAATAGTGTATTTTAATATACAATATAGTTTTAATTATTTTATTCGTTGCTATTTTTATTTTGAATTGACAAATCTGGATTGAAAATGCCTTTTACTTTTAATAGAAATATTTGACTTAAAAATTGGGTGTTTTATTATCGATTTTAAGTTACCGAATTAATCGAACCGCAACGAATATCCAGTTTTATTCCCCGATTGTTATTCTGTCGAGCAATCGGGGTCAGTTTCTGGAAAACAAAAAACTACCACAAAATGGGTGTCGCCTTGACGTGGCTTTGTGGCTTAACGTGTGAAAATCTTATCGAAGATCTAAAGATAATGTTTTCCACGGACTAAGTACACCCGACAGAAATTTCACAAGAATTTTCATGCAGGTTTTGTGAAACGATGTTTTGTCACTCTCTTAAAAATCACACAGAAAGACACAGCATTAAATGCGTTGACTCTATCGCTTTATATAGTAAAAATAAACACAAGCTAAAATTAATATAAAATATACTGTCCTAATAGGAGAAGAAAATCAGTAATATATGATACGTCCTGTAAAAAGTTTGACATTC